AGACCTTGGCACAGAGCCCAGGACCCCTGCGCCTTTGATTTAGCCCTTGGAAAAAAAACAATTACCAACCTTTATGTGAAGAACTACAAGCCAAAAGAGTTTAAGTAGAATAATAGTTTGTCATGGGGTGAAAAACAGATTTTCGAGGTTTTTAGAATGGGGGCTTGGGGTCCCAAGATGGAGGAATCTGGGCATGCCTTGTCCTTTTTCCTTCTCCTTCCTAGCTTCCATCATCTGGGTTATGTTGGCACTTTTAGATCGGTTTAGAGTAGATTGGTTTAGCTCACTGTCTAACATAGGTGGTAGGCATTGGGAAGTAATGGTAAATAATGTACATGTAGTTTTTAGTATAAAAAAATAACACCAGTGTGCCTCAACACGACGTGCCTGATAGACCTCAGTGGGTCAGAGAAAGAATTTTATAGATAATAGAAAAATAAACAACCTCAAGAAAGAGAACAAAAGAATTCTGACTCCTTCTTGAACAGCCAGGCTGGGAAAAAGAAGCTTGTACATATCTCAGAGTCACTGTGAGCAGCAGAGATTCTGAGATTGGGGCACAGCACCCGGAGCCAGCTCTGCTCCCAGCACATCTGACCCAGGGAGAGAGGAGAGTTACCCAGTGTGAACCCATCCTGCTGCATCAGCCACACCTTCTCTGCTTCGTACCAAACGTCCCTCGGAGCCTGGGGGAGGAGAGAGGGGAATTGGGCAGGAGCAGGGTGAAAGCTGAGCTGAACAAGCTGCCTTTGCCCCACGGACAGGGGCATTTCCACACCCCTGCCCATCCAGGCCTGGGGTTCCCTCCCCACCAGCCCCAGCCCATGGGAAAGGGAGGAGCATGAAACCAAAAACTGCTCCAAAATCCAGATAACATCCAACACATTACCTGGTCCTTGTCTGTGCTCTCACCCGATGCCTCTCCATCCTGCTCCTTCTCCATGGTCTTGCTCATCTCTTGGCTCCTTCCCGATGTTTCTTCAGCCTGGTCCTTGTCTGTGCTCTTGCCAATCCCTTTGCTCTCTTTCAGCATCTCTTTACCCTTCCCCAGCTCCTCCTTCACCTTCCCCACCTCTTTCCCCACCTCTGTGGACTTCTCTTGGATTCCTCCCGGCTCCCCCTTGAGACCCTCTGGCTTGTTTGTGGCTTTTTCAGGCTTTTTGATCTCCCTCGGCTCCTTCTTGCCACCTCCAACATCTTTCTTCATCTTCTCTGGCTCTTTCCTGGCTGACAACAGCTCCCTCTGGGCTTTCAGCTTGGCTGGGGGCTCCTCGTGCCTCAGGGGTGTCCCCTTCTCCTTCTTGGTGCTCTCAAGGATTGTCCCCTTCTCCTTCTTGGTGCTCTCAGGGATTGTCTCTTTCTCCTTGGTGGTCTCAAGGATTGTCCCCTTCTCCTTCTTGCTGCTTTCAGGGATTGTCCCCTTCTCCTTCTTGGTACTCTCAGGGATTGTCCCCTTCTCCTTCTTGGTGCTCTCAGGGATTGTCCCCTTCTCCTTCTTGGTGCTCTCAGGGATTGTCCCCTTGGGTGTGTCCCCTTCCTTCACTGCCACTTTGCTGCCACGCTGGGGGCCCTGGCTGGGTGCAGGGGCTGGAGTTGGGGGGCTGCCCCCCAAGAAGGAGTCCTTGGGGCTCTTCCTGGGCCACAATAACTTTCCCACCTTGGGAGCCCCTGGCTGAGGGGTCTCTGCTGGTTTGGGGGTGGTCTCTGATGGTTTGGAGGGAGCCTCTGCTGTTTTGGGGGATGTTTCTGCTTTTTTGGGGGGTGTCTCTGCTGGTTTGGGGGCAGGCGCTGCTGGGCCGGGTGCAGGGGTTTTGCTGGGGACAGTCCCCAGCACAGGGGGCAGCTCCTTGTTTGGGGGGGCTGTGAGCCCCTTGCCCCCCTGCCCCTCTGCCTTCAGCCCGTTCCGCAGGGGCCCCTCGCTGGCCGCCCCTGCTCGGGGCTCGCCGTCCTTCCCCGTGGGCTGCAAGCAAAGAGAGGAGCTGCTGTGACACCTGGGGGTGCTGCAGGGTGATGCCACGGCCTGCCTCAGTTTCCCCAGGTGTGTCAATCACCTCTCCTTTCCCCCACCCTGAGCCCTGCTGAGTGCTGTCTGTCTGTCATGGCATTCCAGAAGGTGTTGAGTGATTGGCAGAGTTCAAAAGATGCCTTCCAGCCCTGGAGGACACTGAACCATCCAGGTGTCATTTGTCCCTTAAGACTTCCCCCCACTACTTGGTTGTAGCCCTCTGTGCCCCTTCCCTCCCCTTTCCCCGGGGTTAAAAGGAACAGCAACCACGCAGTTTGGGGAGTTCTGTTGGAGCAGTTACTGGATTCAGAATAAAGCTCTGGATCAAACCCTCCATCAGAACCGACTTCTTTCCTTCACCATCACCTTAAAGCTTCTCCACCACAGATAAACCTGAGCTCCTGCACGCCTGGACTTGTCTCTAGCACCCAGCTGCAACAACCAGATAGCCAAAGGTGTCTCCTAGGGACATCCAGCTCCCCTATGCTGTGTGAGGTCCTGCCACAGACATCTTTTATGGAAAATCCTTTCCTTAGGATTTTTCCTCCTGAGAAGCTAGAGGCCTCAGGAACAAAATGTAAACATTGATTATCTGCTGCTGTGGAATGCAACGGGTGCATCTGTGATTGGTCTCATGTTGGTTGTTTCTAATTAATGGCCAATCACAACTGGCTCGGACTCTCTGAGGCAGAAGCTTTTGCTATCATTTCCTTCTTTTTCTATTCTTAGCTAGCCTTCTGATGAAATCCTTTCTTCTATGCTTTCAGCATAGTTTTAATATAATATATATAATAAAATAATAAATCAAACCTTCTGATCTGGAGTCAGATCCTCATCTCCTCCCTCATCCTCAGACCCCTGTGAACACTGTCACAATGTCCCTCAGTGCTCACCTCCTCCTTGGTGCCCACCCTGCTCTCCTTCCTCCTCCGTGCCTCCTTGGCCTCCTGCTCAGTCTCCCGCACCAGCTGCTTGATGAAACCCCCAGGGATGACCGACAGGAGCAGGGGGGGAGCAGACGGGGGTGGCCCCCGGTCCTCGTCACGAATCTGGGGTGCAGAGCACAGTGGGGTCACAGGGCAGGCACGGGGACAGGAGCCAGCACAGCCTGGTAGTGGCAGCAGGGCTGAGCACAGCACCCTGACAAGGCTGGGCACAGCATCACACCCAGGCTGAGCACAGCATCCTTGTCAGACTGAGCACAGCATCTCACTCAGGTTGAACACAGAATCCACCCGGGCTGAGCACAGCACCCTGCCCAGGCTGAGCATGGTATCTCACCCAGCCTGAACACAGCATCATGCCCAGGCTGAGCACAGCATCCTTGTCAGGCTGAGCACAGAATCCTGCCCAGGCTGGGCACAGCATCATGCCCAGGCTGGGCACAGAATCCTGCCCAGGCTCCTGTTGAGGGCACCAGGCTGGGTCAGGGATGCTGTGGGAGCAGAAGCACCGAGAGGAAAAGGCCAGAGAGAAGCGCCCAGATTGGTGCAGCCCCTGAGGTGCAGCAGGAGCCCAAAGGCGCTGCCAGCTCTGCTCTGTGCCAGCAGCTCTGGCGTGGCCACCAGAGGAACCAACCTGGCTGCAACCAGGCAAGAAGCATCTCCAGCATCACCACAGCCACATGCAGCCCTGCAGGTCTTAGGGCAAAACCAGCCCCACTTCCCACAGCTTTTCCAGCAGCAGCACCAGCATCAAACCCTGCCTGCCAGGCTCACGAAAATCACTCAGGCAGGCGAAAATTGCTCAAACCAGAACACTCAGGCTGTGAGGGAGCCCAGAGCCAGCACAAGGGAGCTGTGGGGATGTGACCCCAGGGCTGCTGCAGTGACACCCCCAGCACTGAGCTCCCAGGCACCCCAAAAACAGCAGCAGTGCCAGGACTGAGACTTCCCTTCTGCTCCCAGAGCGCGAGGCGCGAGGAGATGGCCATGGTGGCGGCGAGGCAGGACGGTGCTGTGGGGACACACAGGGCACAGAGAGAGCAGAGAGTTAGCCAGGGGCTGCTGCTGGCCCAGAGCTGTGCCAGGCTGGCAACACCCTGACCAATTGAATCATGGATTTGTATTTACAAACAAGCTGTGTGTCTGCTGGTAGATAAAACCAGCACTGGGAGGTAAAAGAAATAATGGGAAGGATTCCACTGATTGATGAATGGAAAAGGATATTTGCTTTTACAAATATCTTTGATAAATGAAATTGGACATTGAAAGATGAAAGAAGCAATGGGGAAGAAAAACCCCTAAATTCCATAAGAATTAAAAATTAAAAGGGAGGGTTATACATTAGAGGGAAATCTTTGGTATCAGGTGTATTGGGAAGTCTGAACCTCTCAAGTACCTCAGCCAATGGGAAAAGAGAGAAGGGAAATGTGGCCGGGAAATTGGGATAAAAGGAGACTGCGTCCTCCAAATATTGGAGAGATCCCAGGGGAATGTCCCATGGCCTCTCCCTTTATTTGAATAAAGCCAGAAAGGACTCCTCTGTCTCCTTTTGGGACATAAACCTTTGTTGTTTGTGGATTAATTTTCCTAACACCAGGCACCAACTGGAGCACGGCAGGGGACAGGGAGGCCACCAGGGCACTGTGGGGAGGTGGTGGCACCGAGGGCTGGTGGCACGGGGGTGATTGAAGCTGGGACCCCACAGCCCCGGGCTGGGTGGCCGCAGGAGCCCATCCGTGCCCCACTCGGGGCTGAGATCGGTTTCACCTGTCGGGATCATTCATGCACCGAGCGCGCCGGGGCTCGGCCGTGCCTCCCCGGCAGCCGCATCTCCTTGTACAGTAAAGGGCAGGAGCGGCCAGGAGCGGGCTGGCAATGTCACTGCCTTCCCGGGCTGGCTGCCCCACGTGCTCCCGGGCCCCCGCGCTGTGCCCAAGCCGGGCTCTGCTGTCCCCAAGCCGGGCTCTGCTGTCCCCGGAGAACGGGCCCCGATGGCACCGCAGAGCCCGGAGGGGGCGAGCCACACGGCATTGTCACCCCCGCGGCCGGAGAGGGACCCTCCTCGGGGAAACAGAGGCACGGAGGGGACGTGCCTTGACCAAGCACCCAGGGTGGCACCAGGGTGACACCAGCGGGACCAGCGCCACCAGCAGCACCGCGTTCTCCCCGCTCAGGCGGACCGAGGGCGTTTGGATCGGTCCTTACTCGGGACCCGCTCCTGCTGCCACCCTGGTGTGTGCCACCAACCGAGGGGTCCCCAGCCAGCACCCTGCACTCGGCAGGAGCAGCGTCCCCGTCCCCATCCCCGCTCCCAGCCCTGCCCTGCCGTGTTTCTTTCCCAGGCACAGCCCCACGTCTGGAATCCGGCCCCGGAGACGGGGCTGCCACTACGGCCATCCATTCCCAACTAAAAATACGGACTATAGCCCATTCCCCACTAAAAATAGCCCTCCCAGCCGAGGGGACCCCGACCCCCACCCACCCCGGGTCCCCCCAGCTCCGGTACCTGGCGGGGGCGGTGGGTGCTGGTGTCCCACACCGGCACCGGGATCCCGGCGAGCCCAGAGCGGCGGCAGCACGAGGAGCACCGAGAGGGTCAGCGGCCGCCTCCCCCCGCCCCCGGCGCGGTGGCAGCTGAGGTGACACATGTCACTGCTAAAAATACCCGCGGCGGTGGCACCGGGGCCTCGCCTGGGGAGAGGCGGTGGCACCGCGGGGCCCTGCTGCTCCTCGGCTTCCACACATGGGTCACCCGCGCACACCTCCGCACCCCAAAGGAATGGGGGAAACGCTGTAGTTGGGTGTGAGCCCCCCCAGAACACCCTGGTGCTGCCCAAGGAGGAGAGGAAGCCCCAGCCCGGGGCTCCCCAGTGCACCCCAGTTCCCCCACCAGCTCTGAGATGGGGCAGAGCTGGAGGAGGGAGGACCTGGGAGCAGAGCTCAAAATAGCCCCTGGCACCAAGAGCAGCGTGGTCAGCACCCAGCCAGGCCAGGTGGGAGGGGAGCAGCACAGGGGACACGTGGTGACCACATGGGGAAAAGGGTGACCCCCCCCAGGGCCAGCAGGACCTGTGTCCCACATGTCCCAGCTGCCAACAGCCACTCAGGGGGCATGTCACCTGCTCAGGACAAGTCCAGTGCACAGGGGCAATGTCCCCACCTTGGTCACTCAGCATCTGACCCAAAAGCTCCATGGACACAGCCAGGGCACTGGCACCCGCTGCCAGAATGGCTCTGGTAGTAAGAAAGCAAACAGGATTGTCAGTCTGGAGTCCCCTGGCAGGTGAGCATCTCACCAACCCCAATCTCACATGGGAACAGCACGAGGATATGGCTTCCACAATCCTTCCCAGGTGGCACTGCAGGGATGAGGCAGCCTGCCCACTGTTGATGGAAGGCCACCCTTGGTCATTGTCACACACCTCCCAGTCCTGGCACAGCCAGCATCAGCTCACCTGCAGGACACAGCTGGTGTGTTCCTCAGAAAAACCAGCACAAACAGCATGCACAGGGCTGGGGGAAGGGACTTACCTGTGCATGGAGCAGGGGGTTCCCATCCAGCACATCCCAGCACATCCCAGTCCAGCCTCACGGTGTGCACGGGATGGGACAGGTGACACGGAAAGAACGGGACACCAGCACACACGCAAAGGACGGTTTTTATTGGGGTCTGGTCGTAGGAGAGCAGTTTTGTACTGACCAACACACAGAAGCAGCTTAGCTGTGCCAAAATAATCCGTTAAAAAAATACTGGCGGCAAGAACCGAGTGTGGCACACCCGCCACGACGGGGCTGTAAACTCCGGGACAGTCCGTGAGGAGCGAGGCCACAGCTCATGGCACCCTCCTCCCCACAATAAATATGGAAAGAGCCAAGTACATAAAACAAGGAATGATCTCATCGATACAATATCTAAAGTTATTTACAGATCCTGGCTTTGCTTACCATTAATTAATTACACATTTTGGACAGGTTCTCTTTCGATCATTTCCTTCATCGCGAGTAGCTGTTCGTGTGAATCTGCTCCTTTTTGTTTTAAAGGACCTGGTGAGGCACTGGAAGTGCTCACAAATCCCCTCTCCGAGGATGCTCCTGCTTTATTCTGTTTTTCACACACTTTTTTTTTTGTGCCATCTCACCCACTGTCTGCTCTCTCCCTTTCCCTGAGGAGATGCTACCCAACAGCAAAGCCTCTTCCCAGCCCATCTCCTTTTCCAGCCTGGAAACACAGCGTGTCACACAAACCCAGATCAACCTGGCCCCTGGACAAAGCCATCTTCCTGCAGCTGTCCCCAGGTTCTCTGCCAAAAAATCCCTGCCTGGACACACCCCAGGCCAGCAGCACTGTCCCCAGCACGGCACCTTTCCAGGGGTGACACTAAGGAGCCACAATGCCACCAGCACTGCCAGCTCCCCCTTCCCTCCAGGCACAGCTTGGGCTACAGCTCACCCCAAAATCCAGTGGGATCAGAGAGGGAAACAGGGAAAAAAGGCAGATATTACTCCAGGGAGCACAGCAGGGATCCCTCCCTGCCCCAGGCAGCCCCTCAGCGAGGAGAGAACTTCAGCAGCAGTGTGGCAATGGAAAATGCCACATTTCACCCAGAAATGCCACAGGGATCGGCCCTGACCAGCATAGACCCCCAGCCCCAGCACTGTGGAAACTGAGAGCACACAATGTTACACCACAAGTACTCCTCAAACTGCACAGGCCAGGCTCACAACTGGAATTATTTTTAGGAACTGAGCGAACTGATAACTTCAGGGCTATTTCTGTACCGCACTGGGGACAGAGGTGCTGCCGTTGGCTCTGCAGATGTGCCCAGATGTGCCCAGCAGAAGCAGCTCCTGGAGAGATGGCACCACAGGGGGGTCCTGCCTGGGTGTCACTCTCCCCATACCCCGAGGGACAGTCCCTGCTGGGTCCCTGGTGGCCGCCACCCCTGAGATGTGACACCAAGCAGGGTCCTGCCCTGGCCCTGGCTCCAGGACAGTGATCTGGCACTGCTCCTGCCTCAGGATCCTGCTTTAAGGACCAAGTGATCCCCCTGGATCACTCCAAACCCATCTCCAATGAGAAGATTTTAGGTTCCTGAGCCCAGCCCTGTGTCCAGGCTCTGCCTCCACTCTCTCCTTCCCCTGGGAATGACAGAGCTCTGCAATTCCCTGATGGAACTGAGCTGGATCAAACACCATGCTGACTCCATGCCCCAATTCAGGTCATTAATTCTCTTTAACTCAGCACAGAGTCCTGTGAATAAACACTTGCTCTGGGAATGCTGAGGGATAAAGGAGAAATTTAGAAATATCCCATCAAAGGGGTGGATTTGCAGGAGTTTTCCACCTGAGATGAGC